TTTATTATATAGGATCGAAAGAAACGGGAGAGAGAGAGAGAGAGAGAGAGAGAGAGAGGGAGGGAGCGGCGAGTCGTTATAACTTTCGTTGTACACACACCGGAACATTTTAAATTATTGGTTTTATCACGAGATTGTTGGTTTTTATAACATTCGCGATTGAATTTAAATCGTGACGAGTGAAAGCTATAGCGACAGAATTTATAACGCATTGAAAAGTACGAACGAGAGGGATTATAATTATCCAGTTCCAGTTCAACGCTCGCCTTCTTTTCTACGCGTTAAAAAATTATAAGAATATTTTTTATCGCGTTACGCAACTCTATACGCGATTCAACTTTCGCACGGTTTTCGATTCGACGAATATCAAACGATAATTACCATGCTATGAGATATAAAACGAAGAAAGGGAGAAAAAAAAGATAAGAGAGATACGTTCGATCGTACCAGTTTCGTACCACGCTCGTATCTCATATCCAGTTACTTTAAAACGTAACATCGGCCCATTGGCAGCCCATTCCAAGCACGTTTCCCAACAAAATTCGATCAATTTTCGCCGGTCGAGCATCTCACGAGAGCACCAGATCTTGGATTGACGAATACGACATTGGCTGCCAGCGACGAGAAATCATCGAGTTTATCGAGAGATTAGGTCACTTTTAACACTTTCCCCTCCTCGGCACAATGGAATTTCCCGTCCAAAAGTTCATTCTCCGTTTTCCTCGAGTAGGACGACGGTCATCGTCAACGACCAACCCCTTTTCCACCATCGCCTCGTTCTCACCACCGAGTCTAAAACCCAACCGATAACCACCGTTGGATAAGATTCTTTCTTTTCATTGGGAATAAAAGACCCCTCCCTCTCTCTCTCTCTTTTTCTTTCTCCTTATCCACAGTCTATATTGTATACAAGGGTAAGTCCATACGTCGTCCAGGGATATTCGTTTCCTGAGTTTCTGACTATAGAAGAATAGAGGAAGGAAGGAGCAATTAGAGGGAAGAAACGAGGGACATTGTCCACGGGTGACGGAATTCTGGGATAACAAGGATTGTTACTGGGAGCGAGAAGAAAGGAGCACGATGTTTGGAAATATCGTGGCACGTGCGCGTCGATCGAATCGGGATAAAACGGAGAAATTCTTTCCCTCTGTTCTCCCAAACATCGTGCTTATTTTGAATCCAACGTTAGAATCCCCCCCACTAGTCGAGAGTGCATCGTCATTCTTCGAAAGCGAAGAAACAACATTTTCGATTCCTTTCGCGTCTATTGCAATCTAATACTGTCCTTCTGTCACGCAAAATATCGCCACGTTGAATTCTAACTAATCGTGAAAATGGCCGTTTAACGGTGTCGCGTGATCACGTATATATATTGAAGCGGCACGTGAACTTTCGAACGTGTGATTGGCTGCCGTCAATGTGCGCGTATATGCGCATAATCATAGCGACGAAGGAATGGAATGGACATAAATACGATCACAGTGAACGGAGAAGAAGTGGTATTCGCGAATCAGTTATTCTTCCATCTCTCTTAGATAATAGAATTCAATTATTGTACGCTGTTTGCAGTATATATATATCACTATTTACGTGGCAAAGCGTGAGAAAGTGGGAAAAATTGCCAAGGATAAATGACGCCCCGTTACGGTAAATTAATGGAAAGCGAGTTGCATGGTGATCGCACGGTTTTTTGTTACGGTGATCATTATTTTGATGAATTACATCGTAAGATAAATTATCGGGTGAATTGCTTGCCCCCCCCCCCCCCCCCCAGGTATCGTCTATTAATAATAAAACTCGGAGAATGAGAAACGAGAAGAAGAAGAAGATGAAGAAGAGAAAGAGGAGGAAGAAAAAAGGGGCGAAGAATCGGATTATATAAAAAAACGAGAGCGAGAATCGAATGTTAAAAGTAATCGGGATGATCAATTTTTTTTTACCTTACCGCGGGCAATTTGTCTCGCAAGGGAAGGAGATGGGATCTTCCTTTCTTGATGGTACTCGCCAGAAATCGCGGACTCATGGTTATTTTCACTCTGACCATATCGGTTGTGTGTGCGCGCGCGTGTGTACGATTGGACGTACAACGATATCGGCCGATATCGATCGAATGTGCAAGTGATTTTGGCCGTATTCCGAAATCAGCTATCAATTTTGAAAGCATCATTGCATCCCCTGTCAGATGCCAGAAGTTTCGGTTAAAGACATCATGATGTTATCATGTGCTCTCGGCAAACTTCATGATGCATCCTCCTCCTCCTCTTCCTCCCCTCCTCCCTTCCCTTTTTCCACTTTAAACGTTTGCCAACCAAAGTCTGGCGGAATGAAGCATTTGGCTCGAATTTCCACGTTCCAGAATTTTATTAAACCGAAGTTAAGCACGGTTAATTAAACTACACGTCTCTTCGTCGAGTTCTCGAGTTTTTTTTATTTTTTAACTCGGAATTTTTCGACGGAATTTTTAATTTTTAGCAAAAAAAAAAAAAAAAAAGAAAAACTAGATCGAATCATCGGTCGAAAAAAAGAAAACGATATTTTTTCACGCGCACACCGATTCAAGTTTAATTCGTCTACCGATTTAGATTGTAGACCTGAAAGTTTCTTTTTTTTTTTTCTCTAGTCCGTTGAAAGATAATCCGGATTTAGCGCGAAGAATTTATTATCTCAAACTCTCCATTCTCGTACGTGAGAACTTTTTCTATCGATCAGCTTAACCCTCCCCCCTCCGTTTTGCTCGCTTTCTTTCGCACGGATGATCCCTGACTGCGCTAGCTACTTCAGCGCTACGTTCACCTTAGGGACTTGTTGTCGCACTGACATCTCCGGGAGATATTACACGTAACGTATATCACCACGACATTTCAACAAGAGCGCGGCGCGGTCTTGAGGGACGTCGAAGAATCGAGAGATCGGCGAGCGTAGAAACTTTCGAAATTAATAATAAGTTTCGAAAGGAACGAACGATGCGTCCGTCTCTACGTTTATTAAGTCTTAGCAGCGCTAATTCTTTCTTTTTCTTAACTTATCGGATAGCGATCGAGAAGAGTTAAGGGTCGAAGTGAGAAGAGACGATGTAGGGACGAAACAACATAATAAAATTTACCTGATGAAAGCGTAACCCTTGTCCTTGAATACGCGAATCTCTTGGATGGATCCGAAAGGCGAAAATGTTTTTTGCATTAGCTCTTCTGTTAGACCATTGGTGAGTCCGCCGCAGTACACCGTGCAGTTGGTCGGACTACTTTGATTGTACACTTCATCGAAAGTCAATGGTTTCGCGTTTGCTGCAAAGAGAGAAAAGAGAAAGGATAGGTTTAATTGAGATTAAATATCTACTTCGTAATTGTGAATAATGTTGAAAACCGGTGAAATTTCTTCGTACGTTTCATATTCTAACTATAATCGTTATCCGTTGGTAATATCTAAAAAAAGCTTTTAACACTTTTTTAAATATTTGAGCGTAGCAGGCTAACAGCAGGGTACAGTAGAATCTCGTTGACGTCGATACATTAATAAGATCGTTAACACTGTCAAATTTGTAATCTAAAGTTCACTAGCTTCACGAATTTACATCAAAGTTACACTTAAGTCTAATTAGCTGCAAAGTTTGCCAGGTTCAACTTTGCCTCGATGCGGAAATTAATTGTAAAATTGCAAATAAAGTAGGTATGTACAAAATTATAAAGAGAGACGTCATTATATGTCGTTGCAAAAACGTTAAACAATTTTTTAATCTCAGTAAGATTCTTAATACGAAGCTGGTGAAAAATGTTATTAATATCATCATCGTTTGGTAAACCGAATCAAAATCACATTATCACGCTATCTTCGTTAAAGAGTTGATTCGTAGTTGTTACTGGACTGCGGATTTTCATTGTTCAAATATTCGACATATTTTACGTAAATAATATAAATACAAAGCATTACACGTTGCATCAACACGATATCTTTTCCAGAAACAAACGTATCTATCGCGCAAAACTTACCTTAAAACTTAATCGAATCCTATTAAAATTAAGAAAACTTTGAATCGCTATAACTTCGAAGATAATAACTTTTTATCGACGAATCAAAGATCGTTAGAAGCGCGGAACCTTTCCCTTTAAAATGCTTTTCGAATTATTCCGATACGACTTCCGGTTGCCGAGATATCGTCGTGTAAAGAAAAGGGTAATTTTTATTCGTTTACCATCCTCATCCTCGTCGCTTACTCGGACCTCTCGCTCGCGCCTCGTCTCGCTGATCTATCCCAAGTTGCAAACAAGTGACGGGCACGATTCTTGGAAGTGGTACGCACTTCCAAGAAATAAATATAGGTCACTGGGTTGCGGGGCCATTCGTAATCTTCGCACTGTGTTATATCGCACATACGGCCATTTTGAATGTTCGTATCTCGGCAACCGATCGAGATATCGGGATAAAACAAAAAAAGAATTCAACGGTATGATTTCCTTCGTATTCTGAATGGGTCTTTTTGGGATGAGAAAATTTTTTTTAGTTTCTTCTATAATTTCTTGCGTTTTTCCTATACGAAATGTCAAAGTTTCATTTACGATTCGCAACGATCTGCTGTTCGTCGAAGCACACAGGGATATAATATGATTTGACGTATATAAAAATATGATATATTTTTCGTACGTTGGTTAAATATTTGAACATCCGCAGTCTAGTTCTTTTATAGTTATTCAGTGAAAATATTGGATATTTAATTTAAGTGATGTATATTAATCGTGAAATTTCGAATAATTTTAACAATGTAAGGAACTTGGAAAAAATATATCGTTTTTTATTTTATATTTTTGAGAAAATCAAAGGAAAAAGTTTAATCAATAATCGTCGACTTTAGGTATCGTAAGGAAATATTCAATGTTTTGATATTTTTGCAATATTTTTGCGATACAAATTTGCCTCTCTATCTAATGCAAAACGTCTGATACACATTCGATGCTTTCGATACATTAAAACATGTTTGAGAGAGAGAAAAAAAAAAAAAAAAAGAAAATTCATGCATTACCAAATATTCAATTGTGATTCGTATTTTCTTTAAATACAAATATTTACTTTACTTCTAGAAAAAGTAGTCCAACCTTTTACGATATTTACGATAAATAATGGTTAATCAAAAAAAAAAAAAAAAAAAAATGATTTTCCAGAAAATAACATGACGAACCTTAATGGAAACGCATGCATCTACAATATCGTTTCGTAAAAAAAAAAAAAAAAAAAAAAAAAGAAAAAAAATAGAATATAGAATATATAAAATTCAAAAGTTGCAGAATCAAGATATAAACCCAAGGACTTTTTCTCTTTTTTACGCTCGATATCACTTGTAATTAATTAACACTTGTTATTGGTCGCATAATCCCATCGAGTGTACGTTAAACGAAAGAAGCGAAATAACGAAAGAGAAAACGGCCCCTTAACACATTTAACGTCCCGCGAAACGAACGAAGGGTTTGACATTCGCTCGTTCAGGTTTCGTCATCGATCGTCGTCGTCGTCGTCGTTCGAAAGCTCGAGCTCGTCGCCTGGCCTCGTAAAAGAAAAAAAAAAAAGAAGAAATAAAAGAAAAATAAAAAAGGGAAATAATAATTTCATGGACACGGAGTGAAACAAAATCGATGTTACACAGCGGCTTGCGTAAGCGTTTTAGCGGGAAGAAAATTTTTTTTTTTTTAAAGCGAACCGATAAGTTGGGGGAGGGAGGGAGGTTGCGACATTCCGAGAATACCGAGAATAACGTTCGAGAGGGGAGAGGCGGGGAGGGGGTAAGGGGGCAATAAAGAGATAATGCCGAGCTTTCAGAAACGAAGGGAACGTCCCCTTCCCCTCCCCCTCCCCCTCCCCCTTAGGTAAGTTCTTAACGGAACGTTCCAACGTTCCTAAGAACCTTCTATCCCCGAACGAGGCAATTACAGGCCGTGGTTTACCGGTCGCGCGTTTACACCCGTAGCCTGTGCGCTACCCTGGCTATAGGCTAAGCCCCCGTACGATCGTAAACTTAGGCGACGGGGGAAGAGGGGAGAGAGAGAGGAGGGGGGAGGGAAAGGGAGGGGGGTTCAACCTCTTTGGCATTGCCGTTCGATATCTCGAACAGCTCTAACCTGGTGCACCGAGTTCCACGTCGTTGTCGTAGTCGTCGTCGTCGTCGTCGGACCTGACCTCTTTCCGGCTATCACCGATGCTAACACGGCAAAGCGGATGCAACGTGGATATCTATGAGCGTTAAACGAGTCTAATTTTTGCCGTATAACATTTTCTCTTCCCGTTTTACACGTGTAAGAACGCGAAAGAACGAAGAAAGCAGGGGTTTTTTTTCGAATGATTTTGTGAAAAGGAAATTTTTTGGAGTGGATCAGTGAAGTGAAAGTTCGTCGAGTAAAGTTATCCACGCTTATTATTGAGTTATTGTATGTAAAGTTGTTTTTTTTTTTTTTTTTTTTTTTTAAGAAAACAATCGCAAAAATCTTTTCTAACTCGATGAGATATACTCGTTCAAGGTGTACGTGTATTTCTACTTATCTCGAAAGAAGGTATCTTCTGTTGTAAATATCTTGAATGGAAGATGAACAATCTATAGTTTAAAAAAAAATGATCTCTTTCTTAGCTTCGTCTCTCCTCCATTAGGAAATATCGATTAAACCTATCGATAGATTTCGATAGGTTAAGCTACAATTTTCGAGTTAATAGGAAGGAAAGCCAACTCTGTGATCTTATCGAATATATTTCTTCTCGTTCCACGTGA